TGATGCGGCATTGAGCAGCGACACGGGGGAACAAGATGATTCCCTGTTTGATCCCAAGACGAGCCGTTGCTTCGGGCAACCCCTTCATTGCAAGCGCTCCACGGTTTTCAGGGAGTTTGTCGATGGATTCGGATTGTGTTCTCCCGGGCGGTGGCGTCCAGAGCAGAGGGGCCAGTTATGCGGTTGGCAGGAACTAGATCATGCTGAGCGCTTGCAGCGGCTTGTGCGAAACTTTGTCATTGAAGAGCTTGGTGACTTGAAGAGAAAGGCTTTCGAGTTGTCTGCTGGCAAAATCAGTTCATCTCCTTTCAGCCAGCAAGGCATGCATCGCTTGAGGACCAAAGTGATTTTGACACAAGGCGATGAGTGCTATGCAAAGGGGATGCCGTTAGGATATGATCGAGAGCTTCCGAGGACACCTCAGGTGTTCCGCGAGAGGCTGCACTTCAGGAAGCTTGATCAATCGCCCTTTCAGGCGGAGATGGCAAATTACACGTCGGCGGAGATGTCAGCGGAGAAGATGGAGGCGCACTTTCGAGAGGAGGAGCGCGAAGGTCGTATGATCCCTTTCTCCGAAGCTTCTTTAAAGAGATGGCCGTGTTCTGATTGCTGCTATGGGTGCTATCATGAAGCCGAGTGGTGACATACGGCCTTTGCACGATGGTACTCACGGAGTCAACTTGAATAACCACATACGTGTTACAGATCGACTTGAGAACCCGGGACCGGACGAGTTGCTTGAGGTGGTCTCCCAGGCGGAAGAACTGGGCGAATCTGTCTTTTGCATGAGTGCGGACATCACTGCAGCGCACCGTCGTGTCTTGGTCCGACGTCGCGATTGGGGATTGCAGGCGTGTCGTTGCAAATCCACCGACCGCACTGTATGGGTCAACACGGTGGGGACCTTTGGGGTAAGTTCGGCGGCTTACTTGTGGTCACGTCTGTTTGCTGCCGTGGGCAGATGGGTCATGCGGCTGATGGTCACATTGTGGCAATTTCAGTTGGTCTTCGTTGATGACTTGCGCATGCTTACTGCTGGTCCCCAGAAGTTTCTCATCCTCTGGATGTTGGTGGCGACCTACGAATTGCTTGGAACGCCGTTTGCATATCGAAAATTCAAAGGCGGAATACGCGTGGACTTCATCGGGTATCACTTGGCATATGACATGTGGTCAGCTGGACTCTCGGAACGTCGCACCGCATGGATCCTTCGCTGGGTTGATGATGCTGAAGAAAACAACTGGATGGTCTTGGGGAGATCTGTCATCGAGCTGACTGGGAGGCTTGGGTTCGTAGCCCGGCTTCTACTCTGGATGAGACCGTTCTTATCGCCACTGCTTTCTTGGGCTTCAGAAGGGGGACAGTAGCCAGGATGCCTGCTTTGGTCCATTTGGTTCTTCTTTACATTCGTCGACGCTTGGGTGAAGGTTTGAGGCTGGTACGTGCCCTGCGGATCAAGAACATTCCCCACCAGGTCTTCAGAACAGACGCGAAGTGTGCTGATGGAGATATTGTGCTAGGGGGCTGGTCCCTCGAACGAGGCACAGATCCAAAGCTGGCTAGATGGTTTTCGGTGCGGATCTCACCGGAGGATTGTCCCTGGCTATTCCGTGCGGATGGCATTTCGCAATGGGCCTCGACGTCTGCAGAACTCTTGGCAAGCTACATGGCATTGTTTGTGTTCGGCTGGATGTCTCATCGAGGTTCTTCCTTCGGTGTTGAGCTCGTGATACAGGGTGGCACGGATAGTCAGGCAAGTTCGAGTGCACAGGAGCGCGGCAAGCCGCTTATGGGGCTACTTATGCAAATGACTGATGCTATGAAAGAGTCTGCCGTGGCACTGCGCTTGAGATGGAGGCCGAGAGAAGAAAATCAGGAGGCTGATGATTTGACCAATTTCAATTTCAACCGATTTGATCTTGATCGGAGAGTTAACTGCAGCTTGAAGGATTTGCAACTGGATCTCTTTCATGAACTGGCTGCTTCTTATGAAGCCTACACACTTGCAAAGGTGGAGCTGAAGGCTGCTGGACGCAAGGAAGGGCCGACATCAAAGAAGCAACGTATGTTGGAAAAGACGATTTGGTGAGCAGGTGGTTCTTCTTTCATCGCTCGTTCTGGCCAACGCCTTCGGAAGTCGGAAGGGGGACATCCGTTTGCTGCGAACATCGCGGGAACGACTTGGCTTACAGTTGAGATGCAGTCGAGGCTCCACCACCATTCGGTAAAACATCGGGCTCGTGAACGTTGCGACAGTCGGAGCTGCGTTTTGTGATTTTACCATTGGTGCAATCATTCTCTCTTGAGTGGTGAGTTGCGAATATCCCTTGATATGTTTTGCCCTAAGTAACCTTCCGGCTCAAAACTTTTGGGGGACAAGCTCACCGGGTCTTCCCGGGAAGTTTGTCCTTTAAAACGTGTTGGGTGGGTGGGTGGGGGGAAAAGTCTGAACCGAGAACCGTTTGGGAACATGCAAACGCATTTCCAAGATGTTTCTTGCTGCGACAGCCTTTTCATGAAGATGGCAGTAGTTTCTACCTTGACTTCCAGTTTCACTTTTCGCGAGGGACATGATATGTATGTCCGCGCTCGCTCTCTCAAGCGGGTAGAGTTTGAAAGTTGCACCCGCCCGCTCCACCCTGAAATAGGGGGAAATCCGTTTGCTGCGAACATCACATCGCGGGAACGATTTGGCTTACAGTTGAGATGCAGTCGAGGCCGAGGCTCCACCGCCATTCGGTAAAACATTGGGCTCGTGAACGTTGCGACAGTCGGAGCTGCGTTTTGTGATTTTACCATTGGTGCAATCATTCTCTCTTGAGTGGTGAGTTGCGAATATCCTTTGATATGTTTTCCCCTAAGTAACCTTCCGGCTCAAAACTTTTGGAGGCCAAATCATCATCATCGTCATCATCATCATCATCAGCATCATCATCATCATCACCATCATCGCAGTCATCATCACCATCAACATCGGCATCGACATGAACATCAACACCGCCATCGTTCATCATCACCATCATCACTATCATCATCATCATCATCATGACCATCATCATCATCAGCATCAACATCAACTCCATCACCATCGTCGTCATCTCCATCATCAGCATCAGCACATCATCTTTCGCCATCGCCACCCTCATCGCCGTAACCACCTTCATCACCATCCTGACGAACATCACCTTGTCGTCGTCGTCATCATCGTCGTCATCATCATCGTCATCATCATCATCATCATCCTCGTCATCATGCTGGTTCCCCGTCATCACCATCACCATGGCCGTCGCCATCAACATCAACATCGCCATCGCCATCCCCGTCGCCATCACCCATCGCCATCACCGCCACAATCATCACCATCTTCTTCTTCCACCACAGCAGGAACGGTCCAGCTAGTGTGCGCTCAAGGACGATTGATTCATCGTTCCTGGCCACTTTGAGTGACATTAGCACGAGTGCCCGTGGGCGGGAGAGATAAAAAGCGTCGTGACGCAGTATAAAATTGTGTTTAAACAAATTGACCTCACTCATCCATGGTGTCTAGGATGTGTGCATGCTGGGCAGTTGGCTCTGCTTCACCGGCTGCAGTCTCTGCGATTTGCCGATGCAGAAGCCTGTGCTCTGCTCTTTGCTCTGCCATCCTCAGGGAGTAAAGGTGCTGCTGGTGTTTCACGTGGAACAGCTCTTGGCGATGCACGTCCAGACGTCTGTGGATCTCCTGAATGCTGGTGGCCAGCTCGTTGATCTGTGCTTGCAAGTACATCATCTGAGCCTGCAGTTGCCCCTCCGTGGAGCGTCGCATACCTGGGCTCGTTGCCAGGGGCAGCAGCTGATGCGGAGTTTGAGCCAGGCACTCCGACCAGCTGTAGTATGTCAGAGCGGATAACTAGCAGCACATACATGTTCGTGGAGGCATGCTCAAGCTGTTCCGGGGTGGCGCTGCCTATTTTCTTATCGTCATCCAGCAGCCAGTACTCTGCAGCCGCTGACGACCCCCTCACCAGTGTGGTGTAGTGTCCTGTATCCAGGTGAGGTCCATGGTGAACGATACAAGCAACATGCTCGTACTGAATCCATCTAAGGTCAAGACCGTTCCCCATGAAGACAGGGAGCTGCAGCTCATGTGGCAGCAAGAAAGGGTGCCGGCGTTTACTCGCCCTGCCATGTGAGAAAGGACCCCTGGGGAGTTGTACAAAAATCCAGGGCACCTGATCCACGAGGGCATGTGTGGATGCCTGATGCGACCATTGGCCTATCAAGGTCTGCACACTGGGGTCAGTTGGTACCAAGTGTTGCAAAGACAGACAGGAGCCTAGGGTGCCTTCCTCATTGCGTATGATCTGACC